CAACGTACTGTGTCTGCGTACTCCCGGCGACTTGGCTTCGGTGGCCGAAGGAGGAGGGGGTGGTGGTGTTGTGGTGGTGGAATCGGCAGAAGGGGTGGTGGTGGTGGTGGCGCCTTCATCTTTGCGCATCGGGGTCGAGGAAAAGGGCCGAACGGCGGCGACGGCGACGGACCGGGTCGAACATGTCGCAGCGCCGGGGCCGGCTTGCCGGAGACAGCGGACGAGTGGCCGCGCGACCTGCTGACACGTCGACATGGCGGGTGGGAATATGCGTGTATTCGAAGGAAGTGCGGGATCGCTCTCAATCGAGAGGAGCTGCACTCAAGGTCGGGTTCGGTCGACGGGGAGGACGGGGTCGAGGACGGGACGGGGACGGAGGGTTCGTGGTCCTTCAATTGCTGCAGCCCACTCGGACTCGGACCAGACACAGACTCGAACTGCGGCCAAAATTTCGTGGACCCCGGGCCGGCAGCACAGTGCGTTAATTGGAAGTACTTCGTAGTGGGGGTTGCAGTTAGCTGGTGTTCCCCGCGCAAGAGCTCGCCAGGTACGGGTACCAAAGCGCTGCAGCGCACTGTACGTGCACGTTGCACTCCAGATCTTTTTTCTCCAGACTCCCCTCGTCGGCCGAATCGATGCGACTTGACTGGGAGGACCGGCGCCCGCGACAAACCATCGTACATCCCGTTAGAGCCCCGTCTCGGTCCCGTTCCGTTGTCCCTCCCCCTCGTCCCGAAGCGCGCTCCACGTTTCCGTAGTACCGCACAGTCCGTACCGCACAGGCCCGTGGTTGCTCTCGTCTCTCTTTCTCTCATCTCTTTTCCTTCCGCGAACAACTGCCCCGAGCACCACCACGCTGACCTCCACCACTCCCGGTCACCACCCGCAACTCGAGTTGCATTAACTTGTAACTCCCGTCGCCTTGCCATATCACAACAGTCGCCATGGCCGGCAAGGGTCTCAAGAGCCTCAATGAGGCCATGAAGGCGCTGAGCATTGCTTCGCAGCCATGCAGGGCACTGCCGGTTCGTCTTCTACCTCCGCCGTCTTGCTACTTGTCCGCCGACTACCTTCGCTCACCAGTACAAATCATGTCCCACTAGATGCGCCCATCCTCTATTCTCTCCTCCAGACGGTCGATGGCCTCCGTAGCCACCCCTCCCGCCGCCGACATCACAAGATCGGTCTCGGAACCATGGCAACCCAGTATGAGCACCAACACGACTGCCAGCCTCGACAACATTGCCCGCGCCGGAAAGGTACTAACCCAGGATTCAGTCACCAACGTTCCTGTTACTGTCTATTCCTTCCCCGAACTCGAGCCGCGCTCCCTCGAATCCTACTCAGCCCGTCACCTCCACCTCCCGCTGCGTCGCGATATCCTCCACTTGGCCGTCATCTACGAGGGTGACTCGACACGACTGGGCATGGCGTCCTCCAAGACTCGCTACGAAGTTCACGGTTCGCACAAGAAGATGATTGCACAGAAGGGTACCGGTCACGCCCGCCGCGGTACCAAGCAGTCACCTCTGCAGAAGGGTGGTGGAAAGTCCTTTGGTCCCAAGCCCCGCGACTTCAGCACGAAGCTCAACAAGAAGGTCTACGATCTGGCCTGGCGCACCGCGCTGTCCTACCGCTACAAGCGCGGCGAGCTCATCGTCACCGAGGACGGCCTCGACCTCCCGCTCCCCGACGACTTCCTCTGGCTTGCCGGTGGCGGTAAGCTCAGCCGCGAGCTCGAGGACGCCTACGTCCGCAAGTGGGTTCGCGAGTTCATGACCGGCTTGAACTGGGGCAAGGAGGCTGGCAGGACGACCTTCATTACGGGCGACAAGCGCCCCAACCTTTTCACCGGATTCGAGTTGGCCGGTGCCGAGGGTCGCGCTTTGGAGTTATGGGACGTCGATGTCAAGGACCTCTTGGAGACGGGCAGGATAGTGATCGAGCGCAGTGCTCTCAAGGAGATGATCAAGGACCACCAGAGCGACCTTGTCACTCGTGTAGCAGTCAAGGGGCTCCGCCAAAAGGGACCCAAGCTTGGCGAGGTGCTCGTCAGGGCGCCGAGAAACTAGACAGAGGAAAAGAAGAAGATGATGAAGCGAATGCGTGTGTGCAACCACCGGCAACACTCTTGTACCATATCATGAATCGCGCAAGGAGGGCTGACTGAAGAAGACGGTTCGGCCAGCACGATATCAGTGTAATATCCATGTTCCCTTGTATGATGTACCTATGCGACTTTCCCTTGTTATTGAGAAGCAATTGGCGTATCTTGCTATCAGAACTTATCTGGTGGATAACCTCCGTTGTAACTGCAACCGTCGAAGCAGTAAAACCGGACCTTGCCTGTCGGGGAGGAGCATTGTGAGTTGGTGACAGCTCGTTCCTTATGTTGATATGAATGACATATACAATTATACAAAGAGTTGAGAATATGCAATAGGAAGGGGGTTGCGTAATTGTCTGTGACTGTGACTATCATGAGCAACTGCCATTGAGCGCCAGAGTGCTTGCAGTGAAGTGGCAGTGTTCGGTTCACCGAGCAAGGAATGACTGGGCAGTGACAGTCATCGTCGGCGTGATGCCTTCATCAAACAACCAAGGAGCTAGAGACATGAGATGGAAGTTGCAGCCAACTGCCTGAACAAGCTTGGCAGTCCCGCCTCAGCCCGTTGCCGGCCCGCCATGAAATTCCTCCCGGAATTTGCACTGGTGCACGGACCAGTGGTCAGGGCCCCTCCCCGCGCCTATTTAACCAAGCCAACCCTTCCCCGAATCTTTCAAACTCTTTCCTTTCTCCTTCTTTTTTTTCTCCATCCAAGTGCAGGGGTTTTACGCGTATCAGTGAGGATTCGTCCGAGATCGCGTTTTTGCTAGTTGAAAACTACATACCTGACCGCTCTCAGTTGGCTTCGGCTGGCTGGGGAATTTTTGGAAACATACAAATCCTATTCTTCGGACTGGAGACTTTTTTCTTTCGAAAAACCCATTTCTCTTTATCTTTCACTGCCTACGGTTCCTACCTTGTTGAGGGGCCGTGGTGAGGAAGGAAACAAATCACGAATAATGCATGGCGTCGCGAGTCGCGTGGTTCTGTTTAGGTTCTAGGGGAGGGCTGAGGAGTAAAGATTCCACGAGCCGTGTCCATGCGACTCGTGCCGACAACGCGGGGTTATTTTGGGATCGTGATGCAGTCTCGCGGGCAGTTCTGGCGGTGTGAAAGTCAATGTTTCGCATTGCCTTGGTTTTGTTTCGCGGTCATCTGGACGCGGTCTGCCTCGAATGGGAAACCTCACCTTGGAAGCCTGGTCCATGAGTGTCCGGAAAGTTCAAAAATATGTATGTCTACGCGTCCTTGGATTCAGCCGCCAGCTGTAAAGTGTCGTGATATTGCCGTTGCCAAAGTTGCGCTGTGTGTATGGATTCGGCCTTGCTACCAAGTTCATCACAAGCGTGCACACATCTTGCATTCGTGTATCCAGAGATCCCCTCAGCTCGCTTGCCTCGCCCTCTCGGCAAACGACAAATGGTCGATCTTGTAGACAAAGACAAAGCCTTCATCTGGATTATTCCATTGCTTCCGACATCACCACTCATGACATGACGTCGAAGGGCCCGAATATCGTTCAAGCTTTGGAGCGACGATCCTGCCCATCAACATGCGCCAACTGACTTCACTGCAACGAAACGAGGCGTGGCCGGGGCTGTCCGCTCCGGTCCTCGCTCCCTACACGGACCCTGGCACCACCAGGCTACCGTACACGATACCTACAGTATGGCATGTCGAGTCAACAATGGCGGCATGGAGGACGAGTCGTCAAATGTTGACAAAAGTAGTTCAGGGTCCAAATCAGCATCTCATTGTTGTCCAATCCCGTCACTTGTTCTCCTGGATAATGCTCCTTGTTTGCGTACTGTAATCAAAACGTATTGGCAGTTACTAGTCTCAGAGCTCTCTCGCTTCAATGCAAAACAGATTCCCCTAGCATTCTCAGAGGGACGAACCAATGTCAAGGGAGGATGGCTGTTTGGATAAGAGACCGCTCCCAGACCTTTCCCGCGATACCTCTCCGAAACCTGGACCCGTCCTAGATCGCAAGATCGAAAGCCATGGTCATAATAGGCACAAGATGTCAGCATGTCTTGCAGCAGCAGATTTGAACTGGCCGAGCCGTTGTGTAGTAAGCATCAGCAGCGGAGATACACTGTGATATCGGTGGGAGAATTGAGAAAGAAAGTGGGAATGCCGATTGGCCGGCGCGACGATTTCCAGATGCCAAGACCAGAAGTGTGAAGGCTGGAAGGTCGGCTCACCAACACGTTCCATGAAGTTGACTGCCCACTGGGGCCCGTGGGCAAGAAGAGACTTTCGACGCTGCTAGAGTTTTCGCTCCACTCAGCTGGCCAGATACGCCGTCAGATTGGTCAGCTTCGGTCACTGACCGTGTCAGGTTACGAACGGTTACTGTAAGATTGTATGATACGCCTGCCGCGTGACACAGTGCACCGCTGAAAACTGGAGGTGCGTCGCGCTGCTGGCTGGGCGAATGGCCCTGCTACCAGTCCCCGGCCGTCTTTGGCTGAAAGGCCAGGGCCGTCCAACTCTGCCTTCCACACCCGCTCGCCTCCTCCAAGTCCAAGGCGGGCGCCCTGTCTTGTTCACTCCAGCATCATCAACCGAACAACCCAAAACCCACCACCAACACCGACTGACAATCAAATCTGTCGCCTAACCCATCCAGCATCGCCGAGCGCCGACACGAGGCCAGCGATCACCGAAACGCCATTCGAGTCGATTCATTTCCGACTCTGATTTTTTCGATATTTCCTAGCGTTATCTGTCGACCGCCTATCTGGATTGATTGAGTTGGAAGTTGCAGTTTGGGGGAGTTGCACGCGGGCGGAGAGCGAAAGCTTCTGCGACAGTCGCCGGCAGTTTAGGCTCGCGACTCGACACGGCGAAAACACTCTTCCCCCTTCGACGAGCGCCCGCTTTCAGGCCTCCCTCTTGGACACCGCTGTCTCGTCACCATATCGGGCTTCGTCGGCCGATTATCAGCATCGCGTCACATCCGCTTCACGAGCGTCGGAGCGTGACACCCACCACCTGCTGTTAGGGAGCGGTGGAATTTCGTTGTTGTTTGTCTGAAGGAAAGAACAGACGCAGGTTCATTTCTTTGTTATCGCCGGACCACCACTTGTCTGCAGCGGACAAGACAGAGACAATCGCTTTCGCGCCAAGGATCCTGGTCGTTTATCCGTCGTTGTTCGGTCGCCTCACTCAACGTCTTCAACGACTCCACCAATTTTGCCATCATTGAAAAATGATGTCTTTTCACCCCCAGACCCCGCAAAGCCCCTCGCATTTCTCGCCCAGTTCGAGTGATCAATCCACGAGCATGTCAGGCTCCATGATTTCCACCACGACGACCTTGCCGACCCCAGCCCACAGCGTAAACGGCAGCTCCCTCGCCAACGACATGTCGTTCACAGACATTGTCATGGGAGAGAACTCTCCCCAGAAGCGCAAGCGCACCGCCGACGATGTAGGCGATCGAGAGCAGAAGAAAGTCCACATCGAGGACCGCAAACTTGGTATTGACGACCTCCATTTGGACGTTGGTGAAAAATACCTCCTTTGCAGATCTCGTAAGGCTCCCTTCACCTGCACCCACACGCAGCAGCAGCAGCGGCAGTGGCATATGCGAGAGATGCGATCCCGCTCGTTGTGGCTCATGTTGCCACAGCGACGGGCATTATCTCTCCGTCTGCTTTCCTGCCCACACCCCGTGCCAGTCACTGGGTGACCGATTATCGGTATTGTTTGTTGCACATTGAGAAGAGTCTTCGTTAACATTGACAATTGCAGAGCATCAACCGCCTCGTCCTCATCTGTCCGAAGACCTTTTCGAGATGTTTGGTTTGGCGGATCTTGCTGCTGAGTACGCGCGCATTAAAGACGGCCAGAAGAATGCTCTCCGCAAGACGTACAAGGGCCACATCAAGAAGCTGGGAGTGCAAGGTCACTTTGACTCGGTGAAGACGGATGAAAAGGACCCTGAGAGGATAGAGTACCTCATGGCCTGTCCCCAGGAAGAGTGGAACGCGCACTTTGTTAGAGGCAAGGAGATCACCAGGGGTTTCTCGTCAGACATGAAGAGCAAGATGTCGAGGGCTGTTACTATGAGCAGGGGGACCGTCCCTTCTACCCTTTGGAACAACTCGGTTCTTGGGGATATCGCAACGACCTCGTTGAAGGCGCACCTCAATCAGCCGCCATCCGCAAGACCCACGGCGCCGAACACCCCTTTGGCTTACGGGGGCCCAGCCATGCAACGTGTGAAGCCGCAGACCCCCGGTTTCCAGGACAACCGGCCCAGGCGCAACATCAAGAAGCGAGGCTACGGCGATTCCAGTTTTGAGGGCTACGGCGAAGGGTACGAGGATGATGGCGGGTTGGAGACAGGATACTCCACCGGCGAGGGTGACATGGCCTCTGGGTTCAAGCGTCGCAAAAAGGTGCTTATTTGAAGCAACGTCCCCGGTTGAGAGATTGGGGCACCCTTTGCTGACATCATACAGACTCAGCCCGGTACTCAGTCGTATGCGCAAGGCCGGCAGCAGTCGGGCTATGGCCATCATGGCGTGTCCGGGATATGACGTCCTGCGCGCGGCAGAAAGAGGAACGAGTACGCCGAGCCGCCGCCCTTACGGCAGATACCAACTGTTTTATCGTCGAGAACCAGCGAGACGTTTACGAATAGCCACGAGACATAATGCCGCCATGCATTTCCTTCGAAACGGCTTAAACGACCCGCCTGATCAGTGTTCAGGGTGATACCTGGATGATCAGAGATGTTTGTGGGACAAAACCGGTACGGAAGACAGGTCAGATCTTTTTGAGGCTCACACCTATGGCGAAAGTCTGGGATAAAGGCACAACGGGCGGTACTCGGGAGGTTGGCTCGGGGGCAGTAGTACGAGTCATCCTCATTGGCACACAAACAGTAGTCACTGGCGGTGTTAACTCATCGAAAGTTCTGTTGTCTGTTGTGCTTCATCTGCAGAACATCAAAACGTCTGCGACTTTTGCTTTTTTTGCTCTTTTTTTTCTTTTACCAAAACACATAACACGACATATACCAGCATGGCGTTCAGGGGGGGGGGTTCTGCTTTTTTTTTTCTTTTTTTTCACAACACGTTTATTCTACGACTTGGTTTCCGGCTGATTTTTCACCATCACACAAGAATGCAAAAATGGGGTCCCAACATAACCCTTCTACATTGTCTGATTATTTGCATACTGCTCGGTTTTTTTCTCATCAGCTCTCTTAAGAAAAAAAGTGGTGGGAACCGAGGAAGAGAGAAGAAAGGAAAGAGAATGATATGGATCTCTCTATTGGTCTATTTTTTATGAAAGGAAGGGTGGAAGGAAAGCGAAGGTTGATACCATTCGGAGCGCGAAGAGGGAAAGGAATGCGCGCGCTCCGCGACGGAAATATAGGGTCCTTTTAGTAGTTAGGGGACAGAGGGGAGAGGGGATCACGGTCAGGTGTAGAACGAAGCGAAGCCCAAGTTGGTGGCTGGCTGGGCTTACGCGGAGATGGCGACTCTGAGGGTGATGGTTTCTAGACCGATCATGCTGGCCTCGCTCGTATACCCCTACTAGTTTAGTTCCAAAAGAGAAGTAAAAAAAGATGATGGCGACTTAATCAGAAGAGGAGAGAGAGAGAGAGAGAGAGGAGAGAACAGTACGGAACAAGAGTCTTCATCCAGCCTTGTGTTAATGGAAGTGGTTCGTTCGTCCTTGAGAGTTACCTACCATGCGTGTGTGTGCTTTTTGCCTTTTGCCTTTCTGCTTACTTTGTCTGCCGGTGTCCATTGTTGCTTGTTTGTTTGTGATTTTGTTTTGTGTTTTGTTGTTTTCGAGTAGCGCAAAGTTTAGACAAAAAGGACTGGATTGAGCGCGTTATGGGAGGGAGGGATGGATGGATGGGATGAAAGACGGATAGGATGGGATGAAAGGAGGCGGATAGCTGAGGGTGCGCGGATGGATGGAGGGATGGATGAACAATGTCACATGTTTAATATAGGAAACAATGGAGTTGAATGGAACATCTTTAGCAAAGGACAAAGTCCTTTCATGCTTGCTTTACAGCTTGACATAAAGGCACACACGGACGATGTCGTTTTGTGGCTGACTGAGAGGACGACTTTGTTGGTATGCGGATCGCATGTGTGCATAGACTAAGTCTCAACGGCTCATTACTCTGCGCAGTCCATTCTTTACTACCCATCTCAGCTATCCTGTCGTCTTCTATCTGCATGTCTGTCATCGATGGGTCACTTGTCCTATTCCCCCATTGCCCTCATGTAGTGTGTGGTGTCTGTCATGTCATACTCATCCTTCCGTACCCATTCAGTACCCAACCCATCCCGAGCTATCTATCGTTCCATCATCCACCCCCTAAGCTACCCTCACTCAGTCTCTCACTCAATCAAGATCCAACCCCTGCATGCCCTCAAGCAACAACCTCTTGCTCGCATCATCATGCACCCACCCCACGATCCTCGAGCTGACATCCCCCACCAGCTTATCGTAATGCGGCCCCGGAAAGAACAAGCCGCAATGGGCGCCGACCTCGTCCACGCCCTCCATGTAGATCTGGATCCAAGTCGGGTCCATGAAGCCATTGCTGGATTTGGAGGGGACCATGCAGAATTTGCGAAGTTTTTGTTTCTTTGGTTCTTTCTCTTTCTCCTTCTTTTTCTTTGAGTCGTTTACTTTTTGCTTGTCCTTGTTCTTGTCCTTGTTCTTGTCCTTGTTCTTGTCTTTGTTTCTCGTGGTGTTGGTTGTTGTTGATGTTGATGCCTCCCCATTGCCGCCGTTTTCATTGTCCTCACCATCCGCAGACCCCGAAAGCGCCAAGTGATGACTCTCCAACTCGCCAATCCTCTCCGCCGTCGAACTCGCCTTGATCTTCTCTTCCTTCTTCTGTTTCCGCTCCCACTCCTTCTTGTCCTTCTTCTCCTGCTTCTCGGCCTCTTTCTTTATCTTCTCCTGCTGCTTCTTGGTGTCCCGCTGGAGTTTGGCTTGCGCCTTCTCGTGCTTCTCGACGATTTTCAGCCGCTCTTTCAGGATCTTGTCCCGGTTCTTGACGGCTGCTTCGTACTCCTTCCGTGCTTGCTTGGCGTCCTTTTCGGCTTGCTTGCGCGCTTCTTTAGAGGGTATGGTGCTGAGGTCAATAGCTGGGGGTGGCGAAGGGGTTTGGGGGATTGCGGGGAGGTCCGGCATGGGGAGGGAGGAGGGGAGGGTTGTTAGGGTGCTTGTTTCGTCGCCGTCGCCGTCGTCGCTGCTGCTTTTGCTCCTGGTTTCGGCTCCGCTGACGTTGCTGATGGAATGTTCGGCAGTCTTGTTAACATCTTCGTGAGAGACGTATGCAGGGGGCTTATCCTCTTCCTTTCGGTGTTCCGGTTGGTGGATGGGGTCGTCATCGGATAGGGGTACGGGTTCCAGTTCTGTGAGTTCCAATTCTTCTGAGCTCCGTGGAGTTGACGTTTGAGATCTGGCGGTATCGAAAGATTCACGCTCGGGGACCGCTTTCTCGGCCATTTTCGCCTTCGAGTGCGACCTCGAATGTCCTTCTGGAGCAGCCTCCGAAGTGACCGTTGGAGCAATACTCTTGCGAGCTTCCTTGTCCTTGAGTATCCCTGTAGAAACGGTATAGTAGTTCACGAATCGCACTCTGACCTCCTTGTCTGTTGAGGACTGTCTCAACTCATCCACATCTTCCAACTTCCTCAACCTGTTATACCTGGACTTCATGCCGGGGTAGTCGGCCAGACAGCCGCCAAACTCCAAGTGCGATATGATGTGGTTAGTAGCCGCCTCAACAAGATTCTCTTGGCTATGTTTTTGCGCAAAATGAGCAATGTTCTTCAACCAGCCTCGATCCACGAAGGATACATCGTTGAAGAACTTGGGGTTGAAGTAAGGATCTGGAGCCGAGGGAGAGGACATTGATGATGGCGTCAGCCTGGGTATAGGTGAAGTTGCCTCCGGAGGAGGGTAGATCTCGGAGTAGATAGATGCATCTGGTGATAGCCCTGGTGAGGGCTGGGCGACAAGCATTTGAGACTCTTGTCCCGCGTTCGTAGCTCCTGGAGGAGCTGGCGCCTTACGAAAAAGACTTGCAATTCCTGATACCACAATACCTGGATGGAGGCCTAGCAATGGAGCATCCAAAGACAGAGTTCCCAAGATCTGATGGCGAAACGGGGAGTCGCTGTAGACTACATCTTGAGGTTGACGGGGCAAAAGAGCAACTTCAGCGGCCAGCAGGCCACCCATAGAGTGGCCTATCAAGACAACATCGGTGGTGGGCGACTCGTGTGGCATAAGCCAGTTACTGAAGTTATCCCGGGCCACGGTAATGGACTTGTAAGTCTTGTAGCGGGGATAGATCTTGGAGTGGATGACGTGTGTCTCGGCCAGGGCTTCTCGAAGGAAGCTGTGGACATGAGCGGGAAAGGAGCGAAAGGAAGAGTCGTTGCCCATGAAGCCATGGATGTAGATAACGAGCAGCGTCCTCCTTTGCGAGTCCCTGTAACTGCCTGTCGGGGTGGACGGAGCCAAGGACTGTGTGGACGAAGTTCGAGGGTCGACCGGCCTGTTCCATTGCGAATACGGATAATTCGCTGGAGGGGGAATCGAGTTGTCTAGGCCGTGCCCTTGATCTGCCGTCCAGGGGTATTCCGAGGCATTTTGAAGATGTTGTTGCTCTTTATCAACCATGGCGATGCTTGGCAGTGGTGATTGTAAATGTAAGAAGGACGGCCGTGTTGATGGCCCCCCTGACGATGACGATACTGCCCCTGTCAGCGATTGATCTTCTACATATGGCACGGTCCCCGGCGGATTAGCCACTGAAGTCGGATTTGATACGTACCTGATTCAAGGGAAACGGTTGACTAGACAGTGAATTGAGAGTGTTCTGAGTTGCTTTCATGTGGGAGTTTGACCATGTATGTCGGTCGTTCTGCATCTGTCCACTTACTGGTGAGGTGGTTTTTGCCCACTACGAATGTACCACTACCTATAGTGTAAGGTCCGGGTACAGCGGGCTGTAGGACGGGCTGGACAGTTGACCTCAGGCGGTTAGAACTAGGTAAGGTAGTACCTTAGTTGACGATCCCCGCTTACAGCTAAAAGGGGTACCTTGTAGGCGAGACAATCATCGGCTGGCCGGAACTTCCAGGACAATCTCGCAATGACGGGAACTGAGGACAAACGAGGCGATTACTATCGTTTATCGGTTGGCCTGAGCGTTGAATATCAAATTCGACGGGATTTCCGCGATACAAGATGTCACTGTTACGGTACCTGGATACATGGAATCCTTGAGTAGGTGTTTTTCGGCTGGACTGCGTTTGCTACCTTATCAGCCTGGACCAGGACATTCAGTTCAACATGATTCATCTGTGGCACGTATCATCATTTTTCAACACAGCAGGGAGAAAGCCCGAGTTGGATTGTCCAAGGCTCGACCACGGCTTGACCCAAGGCTAAGCCACAGAGGCAGAGGTCAAAGATATGGAAAGTCAGATGGGGGAACTCTAGACTGGGAGACGGGACAGTGCCTTTTTATCGTCGCTCTTTCCATTCATGTGTGCGGTAACACAACACGAGACGGAGTGTGACGGTTGCGACATTTGCGAGATGCCAACCTCAACGACTGCAACTGCCCAGGCCCAAATGAGATTGAGCTTCGTATCGGCCATGGTTTCCATGTTGTGGATGCGTGGATGCTTGCCGGTATCAAAAGCTCTCCTTGATAATAAAAAGTGGTCCTAAGCAGCACCCCAGGTCCCGACTGCAGGTCCCAACAGGCGGGCCTGGCGGGGTAGGAGCCTCTTTGCTGCGCCCATCAGGGAAATCCCGAATGTTTCAAATGTTGATCGCAAAAAGATGTGCCTCTTGAATCGTGATTCTCAGGAGGCTCCTTCCCAGTCGATTCCCAAGTGCCAAAAGCCACGCCGTATCCATCGATGCCTGCCTTCAAGTTGTCCCCAGCTCATTCATCGGCATTCAGTTGTGCAATTGTTTTTGCTGTTTGTATGGACCGTCCGTTTAAATTGCAGCCATCGACTTTTGGCCAGTGCATTTACAGTACGACAGCCGGCCAATCACCGCATCAGACGTTGAGCGACTGCGGTGGACCTGATTGGCCAATGATGGGGCACATCCGACCAGAGTGGATTCCAGTGAGCCATGCGGCCCATGCCTGCCATGGCAATCATGGGTTTTCTGTTTTTGCTGGGTCGGCCACGGGGTAAAAGCGCAAAGAGGAGACATCGGGCCAAGGAAGCGAAATTACAGAGACGTGTTGGGTCCCGTGTTGGCCCCGAAAATGGCTCCAAATGCCCCCAAATGGACCCGTCCTAAGGGCATGTCGAGGCAACGACGAGGCATGTTGGACGCCGCGCTAGAAGGGATCCCGCAGCGGAGACCCTTTCTCAGGGCCACACCATTCAGGGCACCTGCAACTTCGACGCCGCGCGCGCAACGGGAGAGGGCGTGGAGGGCAGGCAGGAGGGACTGAGAGCCATGCCGCCATCATTTCAGGTGCAGGGCCCAGGAGAGGAGGGCATGCGCAGACGGCTGCGAGGGTTGCGACTTGCGAGGGCATGTTGTGCCCAATTTTGGCATCTCATTTCATCTGCGAGCCAGCCCATGGATTGATTGTATGGGTGTATGGGTATGGTATGGATTGTGGATGGCGTGGTTCCCGGAGGTTATTATCGTCGTGCAGCCCGCCCCCCGTTGTTCATTCAATGTTTTTCGGTCTTTCTCTCCTCTTTGCCTGTTCCTTCTCTCCACCGGCTCATATCTTGTTTTTCTGTCGTTATCGTTTCATTCGTTTTATTTCCCACAACCAGGCCATGTTGTTGACAGTCTGAAAAGGCCGAGTTGACTCCATCACAGCGCGGACGAGTACCGACCATTGAGAGACAACCTAGACTCCGACGGGGAACCGAAAACTGTCAAAGAGGTGGACTCCGAACACGACAGAGAAAGGAAGAAAGAAAGAAAAGGAAAAGAAAGAATTGGACCCCAAAGACTACCGACTACCTACCGACCACCGACCAAAGGATGGATTCGATGAGATCGTGCCCATGATCTTTTTACTTTTACCTACAATGCGCCAGCCAACCAATACCTTGAGTAGCTGTTGTTGTTCCATCGTCTCGTCGCCGCCATCATCAGCGTAGCTTCGCAGCTGTCGATTACGAACTATTGCAGACCGACCCGGCCACCCGCACACTCGAATACGGGAAACCTGTCGTCCTCTTGGAATCACCAGATCACGAAATCTCACTGCCAAATTCCTTGGCCAACCCCCGGCCCCGCGGCAAAAAGTCACCAAAAGCCGTCCATCTTGGACAAGTCGCTCGTTTAACCCTCGTCGCTCGTTGATCGCAGCCACATTGCGCGCCCAACAGCCCTCCAACAACCGGCACAACCCACCCGCAAGTCACTGGGCTGCCTGGCTGCAGGCACCACCACACACGCCATGACTAACCACATTGGCGGGCCTTCACTCTCTCAGGCCCGCAAAACCATGAACATCGACCATTCCCATACAGGCTCCAGCGCTGGGCACAACCACCGCCATTTGCACCACCAACAACACAACCAACAGCAGCAGCCACGCCAGCTCCATCCGGAAGAGGAACCTGAACTTGATCTCGATCAAACTCCTCACCAACACCAACACCACATCCACACCCACACTCACAGCCACAACTACAACCACAACCTCAACCACAACCACGCTCGCTACCACCACCAAGAACATTCATCACATGAAGACAGCGACAACAACACCTCTCAACGTCTCGACATTCGTTCACCACTAGACGACGCCACCACCCACCAACAACAACAGCAATCCGAACCAGGACTACTAAATGCACGTTCAGTGTTAGTGGTCCAGACTGTGTCCGTCATCAAGATCATAGATGACGCCGGCGCTCTCGTCCACTTCTCGACTCTGGCATCCCAACCTGCTACGCAGTCACCCGACCCTGTGGCCGTGTTAACTGCCGACGTTAGAGACCTGGGTAGCCAGTTGCCCACCCTGTCCGTCTCAGTTCCGGGACTTGGCGATGGGACACCGTCGCCAACTGCCTCCGTCGACACGGAGTCGTCTATAACGTCCGCTATTCTGTCTCTGCCCTCTGGCGTGTCTGCGCCGGGGGCCTTGACGTCCGCTCTTTACAACACTTCGTCCGTATCATACGATGATGGCGCCTCGACCTTCCCCACACTATCGTTATCCTCGGGTCTTTTCAACTCTTCTTCTTCTTCAAGTATGCATATGCACCTTCTTTCGTCCCATCTTTCCCCCAGTCAGATAGCTTCCATCCCATGCGCAGTGAGTGACAGACATGCTGACCAATGTGCGCGACTCGTCATATAGCTCGCATCCCATCGTTTTACGCCAACGGCACACATGTGTCCCATTCCTTGTTCGCAAACACCACCCGAACATCGATCTATGCAAGCTCGACTTCCACCTTCGCTTCTTCCACTAAAAGCCGAGCTTCAACCACTCGATTCACCTCCACCTCGTCGGGTGTGCCGACTCTCGTAGCAGGTGGAACCGGAGGAGGCAACAGCGGTAATGGGGGTGCCGGTGGCGAATCCGCAAACCCCGCCGGAGCGACCGACTCTCCATATGTCGACCCCGACAACACGGACGACAACTCGAGCGGCCTTACGCCCACCGCTCAGCGATCCATCATCGGAGGCGTCGTAGGCGGGGCGGCCGGCATGGCCCTTATTGCGTTCCTGTTATTGTTCCTTCTCAAATGGAAAAAGCGAAATGGCGGCGGCAACATCCGGTTGCTGGGCGAGGGTGGAGCTCTGGCGGCTGCAGCCCGGAAACGGGGCGGGCATGAGCAGGGAGGAGGAGCTCTGGAAGGAGGAGGAGGCGGCAGTGGTGGAGGTGGTGGAGGAAATGGAGGAGGAGGAGGAGGAGGAGGAGGGGTGAGGAGGAGGAGGGACAACTGTAGGAGGAGGAGGAGGAATGACGGAAAGAGGTCTTCCATATGCAGTCCCGTCTGCTCTTGCCAGCCTCACGGGGGCAAAGCGATTTTCAGCTGCGTCAGCCGAGCCCCCAGTTGCAGAACGGGGCTTTTACCGGGTATCAGGCAAGAAGCTGATATCCGTTCTAGAATCCGGCGGAGATGGGTACAGCGACCCGGATCCGCACGAGAGTGTTTACTACCGGGATTCCATGGCGTTTGGTGATGGGACGGCAGGCGCCCTCGGCCTCGGTGGGCAAAGACTCAAACTTGGATCTCCCATGCGGCCCATAAGTGGCGTCCCCGTCTTTAGGTCAGGACCGGGGAGGACCGCGATTGTTCAGCAGGATGGAGGATCACCAGGAGTTGTAGGAGGATCAAGCCCCTTTTCAGATGACACGCACCCGGTAACGCCCACGTCACCGATTGGCAGTCATGGACCCCCAAGTCCGCCCGCACGTGCTTCATTAATGCCAGACCCCATCGGTCGGAGTCTGGTATCACGGGATGGGTCCCGAGGATCTGGGTCAAGATTTACTGAGGATATGTGATGGGATGGATATCTTTTTTTCATCTCATTTCTTTTTGGACATAGCCTTTTTTTGTACCATCTTGTACCCACATCAAGCCATCCAATTTTTTCCCTTCTTTTGCAATCATTTGTTAAAAATCTTGAAATCTTCATTGGATATGATATCAACCTTCTTTTTGATTCTTGTCTCTTTCTTTCTTTCTCTCAAAAGTTTCACGCTTTCGCCATTTAACTGGGCGAAATGTGGTAAGACATTCCTTTCGGCGCCATTTGTCGTTGTTGTACATGTTTCTTTTTCTGAACTCCCCTCCAACTTTTAGCACACGTACGCATTCTTGATTCTATAATGTCTTGTGGTTATCAGATGTTGTTGGAGGCACGGGCATAACGGACGGACTACGTACGCCGTGCCATGTTCAGTTGCTGTGGAGGGAAAATGGAAATGGGGTGGAGGAATTTTGGATACATGATAAAAGCTCTGTTTTTTTCAACTTCGTTTCATGGTTTTGGTGTTCAGGAGGCGGCGGCGGCCGGCCGGCGGGGAAGGAAGGAATGGAAGTGTTTGGCTGGAGGGCAGGTGGGCAGGTGGGCATATACCTTGGGCTATATGATAGATATGAAGATAGGGAAGGGAAGGGAAGGGAAGGGAAGGGAACTAAGTAGTAGTGCAAGTAGTGGAAAGCGAAGAAAGAGAAGAAGAAGTAAAGTGCTGCAGCAGAAAGAAAATCTGGGTTTCTTGAGACTGAACTGATAGTGATTCCATTCCCCGTACAGTAGCTGTCGCGTAAGCAGGGCCGGTCGAATTGAGCGATCATCTCCATCAGGTACCTATCGTGTAACATCCATCTCCTGGTGGTTGTTCAGTCTTCAGCCCGTCCCCGTTCGAGAAATACGGATGGCCCAATCGGAAGTATAGTATGGACGTGATAGCGTGGCCGGGTCGGATGCTCTCGTTCTTTTATTCCCGTGTATGTACACGTTGCACATGTACATGTACCGGTCGACGTGCGTGTGAGAGGACAGAAAGGAGGCGTTAATCAACAAGAGAAGAAGAGCGGCGTCGGTGTAAGGTAACAACTGAAGAGCTGTGCGATGGGATCATTGTGTTACCCCAAAGTGGCGGAAGGGGGATCGTATCGTATATGGATGGTCGTAGTAGAAGGAGTATCGAAGGGGGGTTCTGGTTGTGATCCAAATTATGGTACGAGGGAGACGAAGAATAATAATAACAATAATAATAAAGAACGGAGGGACTAAAATACGTAAAAGAAGATGGGAGATGAGCGCAAAGAGACAACTGAAAACCGGAAGAGAAGAGTCTCAAGTTATGTGAGAAGTAAAAGGCAAGTCCGGAGAAGAAAAAAATTACCATTCGTAAAGTCAAAGTCAAAAGCTGCAGAAGCAGTGGTTGCCATCCCAACTGCCATGCCATGCGCCAGAGCCTCCTCCTCCTGTCCACTACCTACCTAACATCACATCACACATGATGCAACGCGATAACATGTCATTCATAATTAAGGGTTCGCTTCAAGTGAAGTGTGTGTAGGTACATGCATGAAATGAAAGAAAGATGTCCGAAAGTTTTTTCTTCTCTCTCTTCCCTTTCCACAATGAGGTTCTTTACGTCAATCACATCGTGACATCGTGACATCGTGACATCGTGACATCCCTGCGACCCAAGGCAGCCAAAGCAAGGAGTTAATTTGAGACACTCATGAAACTTCCATGGGATAATGGGGGAAGGGGAGAAGCTATTCACAGTACAGTAAGAGACTGGTCTAAGAGCGTAGCATCAAGCGATGAATGGATGGATGGATGGGTGAATAAAACGGCCGGACGCCTTCCTTCCCGCTCGGCGCCCTCATGCTTGCCTACTACTGGCTGTCTCATCATTCAGTTAGTGTGATTCCTTCCTCGTGTTGCTTGTGCGCTTGGACGGCTAGACGGAGGGTCAAAAAAACACGGGCGAAGACGGGAAGTTGTGTAGTGTAATTGGATGGCTCGGATAGGAAAGGTTGACGCTCGATGATAACTGTTTTGTGGATAGAAGAATGAATGCAATGGCAGGCTGGCAGGCTGGTTGGCTGACAAATGCCAATCTTGGAGGAGATGGATGAAGTGTGGGATTTGGATGGCCGTAACGCCGACTATCAATTTCGATACTCGATCTATGGCTTGCTCTCTTGCATACCTACCGTTGAGATTTCCGCATCAAGTCTATGACCACCTACCTACCTCTCTGTGGGTGTATGAGTCGAAATGAAGCACAGGGAGACATGATACATGAGACATGATGGCTTTTATGGCGAGGTTATCGTGCCGTGCCGTGCCGTGCCGCAATGCACAATGCCCACCTACCGCCATACACCTACATTACAGTATTCACACATGAAAAACAGTTATGCAGATTACGGTTCGGGGTTAACGCCGTCATCAAGCCGCATCAAGCCGCCTCAAACCTTGATGTGATCTTGTCCCGAGGACTTGCATCCAATGGGTTTTAGGAAGAGAGAGATGGCTGATGATGCTTCCTAGCCTTGGCATCTTGCCCCGGGGTTCTGCAACTTTGCGGCGTAGTGAAATTGACGACGACATGGAATGGGGACAATGAAGGAAAAGGCCTTGCTGAAAACTACCTATGGATAGGAGGCTTGCCGCTTGCTTGGCTGAACTCGGTCAACTCAATGGTTGTTGCCGAGACCATATCGGAGATTTTATGGAACGGACGTTGTGATGCAGAAACAGCTTCCGGTGCCTTTGTGCCAGGGCTTTGCGATGGGCCAAGGAGAACCCCTTTCTTGGATCGGTTTGGGGTAAAAGCCGTGGGAAGTAAATACACACTACCCAGGGGGACGGGGCTTCCATGATATGTATGTTCGGCGATATGGTCGTGCTTGATATGCTTCAGACAGCAGTGAAGGTGCTGATGGTTTGGGTTCCAACCGGAATTTGGCTTATCATCTTGATGATATATCCCTTTTACTATCGTGGTTCTGAAAAAGAAATGGCGTCGTTTTGGTGGAGTGGCAAGTTTCATGTTTCATCCTCGACTCGAACCGTTGTTCCCAGCAAGCTCGAGGAAGGCAGTCATCGTGGGGTCGAGGTCTGGGCCACTCGAGGTGATGCCCCCATGTTGGAGTTGCAGCTCTGGCAACTGCAGCTGAGCTTCTCTTCAGCAGATGTCAACTCCACAGGAGTTAGGGGAAGTTTGCACATCATACTGTAATCACCAACACAACGAGCCTATCAGCGTCCAAGCTCGCTGTGAATAACGCCCGGGCGTCCGACTCAGGTCCTTCCTCTTTCGTCGCATCTTCTTCTTCCACTTCGTGCCTGCACTTCGATGCTCGGTTGACAAATGACTGCTGCATCCATCAAAGTTTCCACTTCTCTTGCATATTCTCTTTTTGTTCTCCAGACATCCCATCATCACCACATAAACGCATATCGACCTCTCTGGTTTTCGGGTTTCGAGCCGTCATTCGCTTCAGCCCTACCGCAATCTCACTTGGACCCTTTGAACAGCGAATCCCTTACGGCGAGCAGTCGGTACCGACAGCGCCCTCCATGCTCTGTGCTATACCGCACTAGCATACAACTGGGGCCACTAATCGTCCGACAAGAATCCTATCAAGCTGCACGTCTTCCTTTCTAGTTCATCTTTCCACATCCTCTTCACGCCGTTGGAAACCGTTTTACGGGACGCCCACCCATAGCCTACCCACGGCCCAGAGAGGTCCCCTAGCCCACAAGGAGCCTCAACGGCTAGGTATACGTGTATACCGGTCAAGCGCGGGCAACGGTCTAGAAGGGGCTTGCGGATGGATTTCTCCGCTTCAAATCTCACTGGACTCGGCGCACAACCACACATCACAAACCTGGAGTTAGCGACAACTTACCTCTACTGAAGACATCGAGTGCCGACCGCACACTGCTTAAAGGAATATTCAAACACGGCTCCGGATTTCCGAGCGATCCGGTCTGTTTTCCGGCCCCTTGATTCGACCGTCAAGTCTGACAATAGTGGTGTGAGGCGGGCTATAGTCAAGTCCCACGTTGTCCTTCACGTCCATTGCTACCACTCTACCACAGACCGCAGACGGGACCATCCGATAGGAGACCAAGAGATACCACAGACCACAGCCCAGTGTACGGTGTGAGAGGTGTGAGGGTGTGAAAGGCCTCCGGCTCCAGCTACTACACCACCTGCCCCTGCGTAACAACAGCACTCCTGCCCCTGTACCCCGGGCGCCTAGCTTATTTTTTTCGAGCCTCGACTCCAGTTCCCGTCAGGCCCATCTACCACACTACCCGCCGCCAGATCTCCCAGTTCATCAACGGCTTTCCACATTCTCCCTAATACATAACATCCGACTCCCTTCGACACCACCAACGTCACAGCCCGATAAGTGAAGTGCAAAACACTTATCTGACCGACCCCTGACCCCATAAGGCGACCAGGCGATCGCGATTCCGTTCAACGTATACTGTGTTTCTCGAGAGTTATATATATACACGGCGACGGCTGTCTCTTGCCACCACCACCACCACCATGGATCACCTCCACGGCGGTTTCCAGATGCCCATGGCACCTCCACCGCTGTTGAACCAGCCGCCTCAGATCTTCGGGGGCTACACGGAACATGGCATGCCCATCCAGCAACTACCGCATGACCTAGCTGTCGCACAAGTTTGGAGAGCATGGACTACTTGAAGACACCAGCGAGGCAAAGAGGAGGAGGATAGCAAGGGTGAGTCATGGTTAGATATTGACGGAAATCAGAAATCAGGGAGGTAACAGTCGCTAACAAAAGTTCTTTCCCATCTCCCTAGGCTTGCGATATGTGTAGAAAGAAGAAGATCAAGTGTGATGGAAAGCTGCCAGCTTGCACACACTGCATAAACTACAAGACCGACTGCGTCTTTACCCAAGTGGAAAAGAAAAGGAGTCCTCCCAAGGGGTATGTCGCACCTCCACAGACCCTCAGGGTTGTGAACATTGGCTTATCGTTAAATGCCATGCAGTGCCAAGTACATTGAAGGCCTCGAGAACCGGCTGGGTCGCATGGAACATTTGTTGAGACTATCAGGTGCGTTTATTGATTTACCGTTGGCCTGTCATTGTACTCACCAGCTCGGCAGGTCTGCTTGGAGACGATGATAATGGGGCCACCGATCTCGGAACGCTGGAGAAGAAACTCGCAGAGAAGACAGCACAGTCGAGACAAAATTCACAGGCTGCCGCTTCCAACCCTACTTCACCTCAGACAACACCGGGTCAAGATGGAAACAATTCGACACCTCGCAGCTCGCTAGCCTCGCCTATGCCTGAACCTGCTAAAGATAAAGAGGGAGAAAAAAGGCCCTTGATAGCTCCCGACAAGGAGGACAAGAAGGAGACAGAACAGGAGGTCTCAGCCCTGTCTGAAATGATGTGCTCCCTCGTCACCAACACCAACGGCGAGACTCGCTACATTGGTACGTGCTCAACTTGTAGATTTTGCGCTGATTGTGTCACTGCTAACTCGTGACAGGATCATCTTCCGGTTTCTCAATCTTCTCTCCCAAGGGCATTCAGTGGGTCAATGAGAAGATGGGTGACAACTCCTTCCAGCAGATGATCTCCGATGTCTCGGTCGATGACCACAAGTGGACAAAATGGAAGCCTGACGTTTTTGGCGATCTGTTCCGCCGCGTAATTTTCAAGGAGCTACCTCCCAAGCCCGAAGCCATGTCTCTCCTCAAGGACTACTTTGAGAACTTCAACTGCATGTTTCCGCTCTTTCATCAGCCGACATTTATGCACCTAGTCGAAAGACAGTATTCCCCCGACCCGTATCAGGGGTCCGGATGGTGGGCGAGCTTGAACGTGGCGCTGGCTATTGCTTACCGTCTGCGGGTAATGAGCAACTTGGTTCCACAGGAAGAGGATGATAAGGCTTGGGGTCATATGAAGAATGCCATGGCAGTCTTCCCCGAGCTGACCATGCGTAACACTGACCTACTCAGTGTCCAGGCTCTTTTGGGAATGTCGCTCTTCATGCAGGGCACTCCTAACCCACAACCTTCGTTCCTTCTCATTGCTACAGCAATCCGTCTTTCACACACTATCGGCCTCCATAAGCGCGGAACCGGCTTCAACCTGAACCCAATTGAGATCGAACAGCGGAAACGGGTATTTTGGATCGCTTATATGTTGGATAAGGACCTCTGCTTACGATCTGGGCGACCGCCTGGACAAGACGATGACGATATGAACGTTGACCTTCCTGACGAAGACCCTGCCGACGGCATCGGTAATATTCCCCTTGCCGACGGCAAAGGAAAGATGAACCTTTTCAGAAAGATGGTTGAGATCTCCATCGTGGAGAGCAAGGTGTACAAACGACTGTACGCGACGAAGGCTACGAAGCAGTCGGATGGTGAACTGTTGAACACCATCGGAGAGTTGGACCAGGAACTCGAAGACTGGAAGGACAGCATCCCCATCGACTTCCGACCCGAGCATGAAATCAAGGCGTCCCATACACCACTAATCCTTCACGTCGTCATGCTGCATTTCACCTATTACAACTGCTTGACAACTATTCATCGCATGTCTATCCACCACGGATACTGGACTAGTCGCCTGTCAAATTTTGCCATCCAAGGCCTCAATGCAAGGCCCTTGAACCCTAGAATCTTCTCCTCGGCAGCCCTGTGCACATCGGCCGCGCGAGCCTCGATTTCCCTGCTGAAGTACATCCCTCAAGGCGACTTTTCGTGCGTCTGGTAAGTCTCACCCTCGATCAAAATGACATTGTACACTTGCTAATAAGAGTTACAGGATGGTGCTGTACTTCCCTGTCTCTGCCCTGGTGACATTATTCGGAAACATCCTCCAAAATCCTTTGGACCCTAGAGCACGCTCCGACGCAAAACTTATGAATGTGGTTGTGACTTTTCTGTCCATGCTTGGCCACGAGGCCGAAACCGGCGGTGTTCACCGCATGCTCGGTATTTGCGCTGAATTCGAGCGCATTGCTAAGGTCGTCATCGATAAAGCTGAGAAGGATAATTCGTCGCGACGCAAGCGCAAGGTGCAGGAGCAAGCCTCTGGTAACAAGGCACCATCGAGCAATACAGCACCCACGGATCCTGCATCTTCATTCAATCCGAACGCGACCATGACACCGCGGCCACCGACAACGAGCAGTACAGCCACACCACAGCCAAACCAGGGATCAGTGAAAGATCATCTTTCGCCGGGTGTACAAAGCACCCGCACCCCAGGGAGCGGATACAGTCCATTCAGCCAGAGTCCATCACCGGGGATGGCACCCAACGGATGGAATGACGGCTTCACAACTGACGCGCCGACAGGCATGGAGGGCATTGACTACAGCAATTGGGCTGATATGACTGGATTTGGTGCCATCGCGAATATGAACCCTGCCGACTCTGCAGTTGATGGGCTGCCAGACCCGTCTGCCGGCGACCCAAGAGCGATTTACCAGCAGCCGATGTTGCCACAGGATTTGTTCAGTTTACCAGTGACATTGGACTGGAACTGGGCAGAGATGAGCGGTGGTGAATATCCCAGTGTCGAGAATGGAAACTTTGGCAGCGATGTATCGCAGCAACGGTGACAGTGAAAGGGTCATCTCGAGCAAAGTGTTGGAAACTTGGGATGAGAAAAGGTCATGGAACCTAGACAAAAGGGGTTTGAAAATCTTGAGGATTAAGAAGAGAACCATTGGATGGAAGACGAAACCACGTTTTATGCATTTTATTGCATTGGGGAGCGGGCTATGATGGAGGGAAGGATATACACGACTTTGAAGGGTTTTATACGGTCTGTATCAGGAGGATACGCGTTGCATTCTGATGCTGAAAAACTCTCATCTCTGTTGCTATTTAACATTTACATTCTGGAGGGTCATAACATTTCAACAAGTTGTTTTGACTCATTATTTTCAATAGTTGTTTTAAGAGGAGGTACTTTCATACTCACAATATGGTACACATTTTGGCAGATGACTCCCCTTTTGTTGACGACTGGACACCATGGGTTTCCAGCAGAGGCTGGACACACCTGTGGATCCCGGAGAAATAGCAGCTTGTCAAGGAAATCTCCAAGGTGGAGAACCATCTCGCAAGGCGTTTGTGGGGAGCTGTGGATGATGTTGAAACTTGAAAGAACGAAGTCAGAAGGGGCTGGATCGTCTTTCTCGTCAGGTTTGTGTCTCCTTGCGCTCGCGGTCTAGCCAGCTGAGTTCGAGCCCAAGGCAAAAAATATCTAGTGTTCGGCAACACCGAGGACGGCGATAGATGTAGAGCTCGATGGATTGCAAACACAAGTGGCAAGGAGGAGCCGCAATTGGCGATGTTGATTGGTGACGGTGACGCTTGTTTGCAAAAGCTTATACGGTAAGCTGGATGTCATTTCTAGGATATGAGTTCAATACAGAAATTGAAGCTATTCCGAACAGTTTGTTTGTTCGACTTTAGAACAGACCGTTTAGACTCGTCCAAACGAACAGGCTGCCTTGACACGTGACGCAAGAGTGAGGATCATAGATGTCTGGAGTTGGAGTTTTGGAGGTGCCCGAGCGCTGAAGCTCGTCAGGGTCCAGCGGGTTGTCTGAGGCAGCTCCGACCCGAGTGTGGAGCATTTGGTACCTACCTACGGGCGGGTGGGGTCGTCGGCCGCATGATGCAAATGGCTTGACTTGATTTTCTCCAGTTGCCGCCCCCCGTCGGCCATATCGGACCAGGTGGAAGCCGCTTTGCGTGCAGTGTCAGTCAGTCCAGTCCACAGTCCAGTCAGGCCAGCTCGCCGGCTCCGTACCTCTACCGCCCCCACGACATACATCGTGTAGTACATCATCAAGTTACCTGCCTGCCCACCATCAACAACCCCGAGTCGACTACCTGCAGTCGCAACCTTCCAACGTCCCATCGCAAGCTCACCACCACCACCGAGTTCCCGCGACCTTCTGGGCGCTCACCAATTCACGTCGCCAAAAGTGCACAGCAGCTAGGGGACGACCAGTTGCACATCCATCTTTTTATTTCTAGATACACTGTTTTCCTCGATTGGGGTGTGCCCGCACTAAGCTCCAGCTTGGAATCCCATCCGCGCATCGCGCAACCACCCTTGACCTACCCCTCCCCCCTCAGCTCTCCTCCCCATATTCGACCGTTCCTCTTATCATGGCGGTCAGATTCCGACAATCGTCCCAGCAGCTTGCGCTTTGCGCCAGGCAGGCTCTCCGGACTGCCACCCGGCCCGCATACCGTGCATCCCGCCTCCCCCGCGCCTCCCTCTCGTCCGCTCGCCAGCTGCCCACCTCGAGGCTCTACTCGACACAATCGACCGAGAAGCCCGAACCCAAGAAGGATGACGACAACAGCTCGCCCAAGCCCGAGGAGAAGGAGGAAGACTTCGAGCCCAGACGCCCCTTACCCCCAGGATGGGTGCGCATGGAGAAGCAGGACCTGAAGGATTTCGACGCTTTCATACAGAAGGCCTCGGCGAAGACCGGAATCAAGATTGAGGGCCAGGATGTTATCCTCCAAGGCATCAAGCACTACGGCTGCCCACAAGAGACGCGAGAGCTTCTCAAAAAGTGGATCAGTGGCAACATCACCATCTTCGAGCAGCTCAGATGTATGAAGGCTCTGGTTATGCTGGCCAAGGACCTCGGTGAGCACGAGGTCGAATACATGAGGAGGAACCCTAGCGCCAAGTCTATTGCCAAGGGGCTCAATGACAACACCTTCACTTCGAACCAGCCAGAGAGCGACAGGAAAGCGCAGACGTCGGCGGAGGAGCAGAAGCAGCAAAGCCAAGGCAAGGAAGCCGGTGAGAAGCAAACCGGCCAAGAAGGAAAGCAAAGTGGCGAGCAACAAGGCCAGCAAGGGCCCAAGAGGCCCGGTGCTCAGGGTCAAGGCCAGGGCCAAGGAGGCCAGGAGCCTCCCCAGAGTGGTCCTCTTGACGGCGGTCTCATGAACTACGTTATTGGTACCGCCGTTCTGTTCTGGACCTACAAGGTGCTGTTCCCCGGAAACGACTCCCGCGAGATCACTTGGCAAGAGCTACGGAAGAACTTCCTGGAGAAGGGCCTGGTCGAGAAGCTCACGGTCATCAAGGATCGCGTAGTTGTGGATCTCAACAAGGAGGCTACCAGGCAGATGTACCCCGAGTCGGCCGCCACTGCCCCGGGCTTCCACTACTACTTCTCTATCGGCTCTATCGACGCGTTCGAGAGGAGATTAGACGAGGCCCAGTCCGAGCTCGGAATCCCGCCTGCTGAGAGGATACCTGTCAGCTATGCCAACGAGTTCAGCTGGGGTAACGTCATCCTTGCCTTTGGCCCTACCCTGGTGCTCGTCGGTCTGCTTGCCTACATCTCCAAAAGAGGTCCCGGTGGCGCTGGCGGCCCGGTGGCATGTTCGGTATCGGCAAGAGCAAGGCCAAGATGTTCAACCACGATTCCGCGGTCAAGGTCAAGTTCTCGGATGTCGCTGGTATGGATGAGGCCAAGGTCGAGATTATGGAGTTCGTCCAGTTCCTCAAGGAGCCCGAGCGCTTCCAGAAGCTCGGTGCCAAGATCCCCCCGTGGTGCCATCCTCTCTGGTCCTCCCGGTACCGGTAAGACTCTGCTTGCCAAGGCGACTGCCGGTGAATCCCAGGTTCCCTTCTTCAGCGTCAGTGGTTCCGAGTTCGTGGAGATGTTCGTCGGTGTCGGTGCATCCCGTGTCCGTGATCTCTTCGCCACGGCGCGGAAGAACGCTCCCTGCATTATCTTCATCGATGAAATCGATGCCATTGGTCGGTCTCGTTCCGACGGCGGCTTCAGGGGTGGAGGAAACGACGAGCGCGAGGCTACCCTTAACCAGATTCTTACGGAGATGGACGGTTTCAACACGACTGAACAGGTGGTCGTCCTTGCCGGTACCAACAGACCTGATGTTCTCGACAAAGCTCTTATGCGTCCCGGTCGCTTCGACAGGCACATCAACATTGACAGGCCTACGATGAAGGGTCGTCAAGACATCTTCAAGGTCCATCTGGCCAAGATTGTGACCAAGGAGGATATCGAGTACCTCACCGGTCGTCTCGCTGCCTTGACCCCTGGCTTCGCTGGTGCTGACATTGCCAACGTCGTCAACGAGGCTGCCCTTGTCGGTATGTATTCCCTTCCTTGCTGACTTCTTGAGGCAAAATGCTAACATTGTGAACAGCTGCCAGAGCGAGCGCGGAGACGGTCGCTATGACCCACTTTGAGCAGGCTATCGAGCGTGTCATCGGCGGTCTGGAGCGCAAGTCTCTGGTTCTCAGTCCCGAGGAGAAGCGGACAGTTGCCTACCACGAGGCTGGCCACGCCATTTGCGGCTGGTTCTTCCAGTGGGCCGATCCTCTCCTCAAGGTCTCCATTATTCCCCGTGGCCAGGGCGCGCTCGGCTACGCCCAGTACCTGCCTTCCGGTGACGCCTACCTCATGAACACCAAGCAGCTGATGGACCGCATGGCCATGACTCTTGGTGGTCGTGTGTCCGAGGAGATCCACTTCCCCGTCGTGACAACGGGCGCCAGCGACGACTTCAAGAAGGTCACTAATATGGCGCGGGCCATGGTGACGCAGTGGGGCATGTCGGAGAAGGTGGGCATGCTGCACTTTGACGACAGCGCGGAGCGGTTCCAGAAGCCCTTCGCCGAGTCGACGGCGCAGGCAATCGATAACGAGGTGAAGCGCATCGTCGACGAGGCTTACAAGCAGTGCAAGGACCTCTTGACGGCCAAGAAGAAGGAGGTCGGCATGGTGGCCGAGGAGCTCCTCAGGAAGGAGGTCCTGTCGCGCGACGACCTCGTCCGCCTCCTCGGCCCCCGTGAGTGGCCCGACAAGGAGGAGTTCTCCAAGTACTTCAACGGCGAGCGCAAGGGCGCGCCACCACCGTTCCCTGTGGAGAATACCGATACTCCCGAGGAGTCGGGGCCGACACCGGCTATGAAGGAGGGTGAAGCCGACAAGGCCGTGGGCAACAAGGAGGGTGAGAGCAAGGAGACAATGTGATTGGGGATGGTGATGAGATAGATGGATTGGCGGTGGATACCGGAATGTGGATGAAGTAGGGAAGTTGTTATTGTTGATGTTTTGTACCACCATATGTTATCTTTACAAAGGGGGGGGGGGGGCTTTCTTATACGTTTTTTGTTTGTTCAAGAAGAAGAAAGCATTAAGGATGAAGAGAAAAAGAGAGAGAAGAGAGAAAGGTCATGATGATGATGATGCCCTCGCAGCGCGTGAGTCGATGCCACCACTAAATACCTGGGTTCATTAGGTTCTTTTCATCTCTTGTACACAAAACTTGTAACTGTACTCTATTCTACTCTTGTACTCATATCGAGATTTGGACTTGGGTTGGGGAAGACAGAAAAGAAAAGCGGAAGGATATGAACACACATGATAAATGTGATCATTCATTCAAGACCAGACTTTGTTCACAAGCAAGCGCATCGCTATAGCGAGCATGTTATATCATCATCACTGAAAATGAAGATGGACGGGAGAAGAAACTGGGATGGGCATCGTTTGGGGTGTGTGTATTGGAAAGCATCGTCAATTGCATAAACAGAATGATTGCTTTCGAATTAAGATGTCTGGCGATACACCATGGAAGTATTTTTGAAAAGTGTCTGACTCTGGAACGGAACTCATGTGCCGGCGATATCAGTATATCGCCGTTTCTAACCTAACTAACTCTATGAGGAAAGCTGGAGGGGCTTTTTGCGGCGGTCTGTAGCGGGCGTTCGTCACCGATGTATGGCTTGGAAAGGGACCCACTATTTTCTCGCCGCTGAAATAATGAATGAAGATAGCGTTCGGCGGGACAGGGGTCAGTTTGGGGAAGGGATACTGTAGCCAAGAATTGACCGTCAATTGAAGAACGGAAAATTTGAACTATGAACAAAACGTAGATAGGAGGGCATGGGGTTTCCTAGCTTCATTCAATGATTTCTATCCAGCTTATTCCCGGAGTCGTGTCCTGTCCTTACTCCTGCAACTAAGAACTGGACGGTGAATATCGAAAAAAAAAAAAAATTTACACTCACTGCGTACCTTGAGGTACCTCTACACACTCAACGCACGCACGCGTCGCCGATCACATCACGGCGGCGACATCGACGACATTTACGACGACAACGACGATCACATCAAAGCCATTGTGTCTGAATCATTGAACCTCACCGACGACTACATTACCCTGATCATTGGCGACAGTTCAGAAGCGCAGGATTCCTTTGTGTGTTGTTTAGCTTGAAGCACTACCATACGGCATTGGCTTCCATTGGCTTTGGCGGTTTCGCGAATTCATCAACTCATCCCCGACGGTGCTGTCGGCAAGTGAAATCCGGCTCATCTCATCAATACGATAACCAAGAGGGCGCGGACGGGAGAGTGAAATGAAACGAAGCGAAACGAAACAGAACAAAGCCATTGAGGTACCCCACAGGCCATACATAGGCCACGGCGACGCAACTTCCCCCTTCATCAACCAACTTCAGTTCCGGAAGTTCAGCGCTGAGGTATCAGGGTGAGATTCTCCAAAAAACTTGCAACGACTGAATACGGACTCCAATGGCATCAACGACAAAACCGGACCCCGGTCCCGGCCCGGGTGACTCCAGCAGTTTCACCCTCCCGGGATCCATCCCCGGGACCGGAGGACTCCGCACCGATACCACCACCGATGACCGAGAACCCGGAGCCGTCCCCGGAACGAAACAGAGAAACCCCAAATGGTACAAAATCCATCTCTTCCGGGGCATGATCAACGACCTGCGGCGGCGAGCGCCCTACTACCTCTCCGACTGGACCGACGCCTGGAACTACCGCGTCATCCCCGCCACCGTCTACATGTACTTCGCCAACATCCTTCCGGCCCTGGCCTTCTCCCTGGACATGTTCACCAAGACGGACCGGATGTACGGCGTCAACGAAGTCCTGCTGGCCAGCGTGCTGGGCGCCGTGGTTTTCAGCGTCCTAGCGTGCCAGCCCTTGGTCATCGTGGGCGTGACGGGCCCCATCACCGTGTTCAACTATACCGTGTACGACATCATGGAGCCGACGGGGACGAACTACATGGCGTTCATGTGCTGGATTGGGCTTTGGTCGCTTGTTTTCCACTGGATTTTGGCGGTCACGAACTCTTGCAACTGGTTGCGTTATGTCACGAGGTTTCCGTGCGACATCTTTGGCTTCTACGTGGCGTTTATTTACCTGCAAAAGGGCATTCAGGTGTTGGAGCGGCTGGGCGACGCGGAGCCGTTTTACCTGTCGGTCGTGGTGGCCTTGTGCGTCTTTGCTATTGCGTACATCTGTGGCGAGCTGGGGGACAGTAGCCTGTTTAACCACACGGTGAGGGTGTTTTTGAAGGATTACGGGACGCCGTTGACGGTGGTGTTCTTCACGGGGTTCGTCCACTTTGGGAAGATGGAGAATATCCATCTGGAGAACTTGGAGGTTAGCAAGGCGTTTTTCCCGACGCCGCACGAGGATGGCTGGATCAGAGGGTGGTTTATCCACTTTTGGGATATACCCGTGGGACATATCTTCTTGGCTATTCCGTTTGCTTTGCTGTTGACTATTCTCTTTTGGTTTGATCATAATGGTGAGTATCTACCTACCTTACCTTCTCTCAGCCGTAACTTGCCCGGCAAACCATTAACACCACATACTCAGTCTCCTCCCTCATTGCCCAAGGCACCGAATTCCCCCTCCGCAAGCCCGCCGGCTTCCATTGGGACCTCTTCCTCCTCGGCCTAACCACCGGCGTCTCCGGTCTTCTCGGCCTCCCCTTCCCCAACGGCCTCATCCCGCAAGCGCCCTTCCACACGGCCTCTCTGTGCGTAACCAAAGTCGTCACAAACGACGACACGGACGCGGACTCTTCCGAAGCCAAGGGCCATCCTTCATCAGAGTCATACGAATACAAACCCGTCTCCGTCGTCGAGCAACGCGTATCCAACCTCGCCCAAGGGCTGCTCACGCTAGGAACCATGAGCGGCCCCCTCCTCATCGTCCTCCATCTGATCCCGCAGGGCGTGTTGGCAGGCCTCTTCTTCATCATGGGCTACCAAGCGCTTGCCGGCAACGGGATCACGCAGAAGCTGATCTTTCTGTTCAAAGACAGCCGGCTGACCAGCCCCAACCACCCGCTCAACAACAAAGCGCTGAGGAGAAGCCGGGTTTGGCTGTTTGTCATCATCGAGCTGGTCGGCTTCGGCGCGACGTTCGCGATCACCCAGACTGTTGCGGCCGTGGGCTTTCCCGTGGTCATCTTTGCGCTGATCCCCGTCAGGGCCATGTTGTTGCCGAAGTGGCTGAGCAGGGAGGAGCTGGTAGCGTTGGATGGGCCGACGGCTAGCCCGTTTACTATGGAGAGTGTGGGCGGGGCATATGGGGGCGTTGAGGAGGCCGAGGAGGGTGGGGAGAGCAGTAGTGGTGCTGATGAGGGCAGTGGTGGTGGTGGTGTTGTGCTCGGTGGTGGTTCCTCTTCGGCTGTGGGAAGGAGTAAGTCGAAGAATAGTAAGGTGACCGGTGAGAAGAGCGCGGAGGAGTTGGCAGAGCTGGGGCAGGGTGGTCGTTTGTCGGTTGGAAGTGGCAGGAGCTCGTTGCGGAGGGGAATCACGGCTGTGGATAAGATTCAGCAGGGGCATAGCCAGGGACAGGTGCACAGGAGAGGCCATCATCAGGCTGGGAGGTAATGGAGGAGCAGTGAGAGATGATGACCATCTAGACGAAAAATATGTCGGTAATATGTAATCTTGTCGTTCTCGAAGGGGGTATGGACATGTAAAAGCCAGAGGTAATCTTGGAAAGGAAAGAGGAAGCAAAATAGGAATGGACAGGATACTTAGATAGTTGGGTGGAGATAAATCTTATGAACGTACTATAGATTCAAGCTAATGACTGGTTATACTCGGTACATAAACCAGCTAGCTGTCTCTAGGAGGATGCGGTAGTTGTCGGTCGGTCTTTGCATCACGATGTTGAGCATGGCTCAGCTACTTTGCATCATACATTGCATCCGCGTGTTGTATTTTCAGAGGCTGTGATGTCTTTATGCAATAATGCAGTTACCTTTGATAACGTGAGAAGACGGTACCTAGTCAAGCAACGGGATCTCGATTTCTTCCTACCCTGAAGTACGCTGGTGACAAAGATATTTCTCCCTCTTGAGTGATTCACTTCATTCTGCCCAGCCAGTCTGCTACCTCTAGCCAGATTCTGTCATTTTAGCTTGACTCACCCCTCCCTCTGTCATGTCCCACTCATTGCGCCTTCCAAACCTGAAGAAGCAAATGTCTTCCTTCCTTCCCACCTCATCCGTTCATCAAATGGCCCACTTGCACCTGCCGGACGGGCCACTAATGTGTGAACTTGCTCGAGTGGAAACGAGCGGCTGCTATTTCCTTTTTATGCTTTCCTCATGGAATGGAAGTGGCCTGAGGATCATAGGGTGGCACCTTCGTTCCCTTCGCACTTCTCTTATTTTCTTCTTGCACCCACTCCGCCTTCCTAGCGGACTGCTCCTTCCCGCCCGACCTGTCTGTCTCTCCGCAATCATCAAGGTTATCGCCCATTACCTGTATGGACTGAAAATCCCGTCCGTCTCTCAAGGTTCTTGCCACTGCAGGTCTCGTCCAGATTCCCCTCCTTGTCTTCTGGTGCTTCCAGCTTCAAGTTCCTCTGGTCTAGTCTCAACTGTTCGAACTTCGAAGTAGCGAAATGTAACTGGAAGGCTGCAGGCTCTGCTGCTCGAACGATGTCGACAATGACAGGATGTGGATAGGTTTTCGTTGCCCCTTCCATTGTTCGTTGTTATTTAATCCCTTTCCTTTCCTTTTCTTCCGGCGTCTCCTTGCTCTTGTTATTGACGCTTTACTTGTATCTCTTGGCTCCTTCCTTCTCCGGTCGTCCCGTCCAATCTGCTTTGCTTCTTTTGTATGACTTCTCCTACTCTTGCCCTCTGCTTCCTATGTCTCACTCGTGTGTTGCCATCTGAGATTTTTTTTCCTGCGCAGACGGTATTTACTCTGTATGAGTAGGCTGGCATCATCAGGGCTTCGGTATCGAGTGCTCGGTGGATTGACTTCTTGTCGAGGATACTTCGCAGGTGTTGCCTCTAGTAGTACCGCGCAAAAATCACGGTAGTGTCTGATGACGGAAATATACGGTTCGTGGAGGTTGGCCGTGTCGAGATGGATTCGGTGGGGTCTGGTAAGCTTTGGTCGTGTTGTATACTTCAAGATGATTTATCCAACGTCTTTTGTGTTTTCTCACAGCAGAAAACCCAAGCAGCACTTCCTCAACAGCGAGATCGTAAAAACATCAAGGTTAGATGGGCACTTTATACCATTTCTCTCTGCTCTGGATTCATCAAAGCGCCGCATGAGACGTCTCATCCCCTTTGACCAACACAAACGCACAATCTATCTTTACTTTATTAGTATTAAGTCTACCAAACAGACCCTTAATTGACACCGCTGTCACAGTCATTGACAAGCGACTTATCAATCTAAATCGATCTACGAAATGTGTGCTTGTTTTTTTTATCACGCGCCCTCGCGTGCGCGGGCGGTTGACAAGGCGGGATCATCACGAAAAGGGACTCCAGTAGTATGGGAGAGGTCGCGGCTCGCGTAATAGAGCATAGTGGCCGGCCAGTTGAAATGGAATAGCAGTGGCCCCTTTGTCCTCCCAGAGCCATGGAATACATTATTGTAGGAGTCGGAGAGGCCAGTTAAGAGAGAGAACCAGAGCTTTCACGCAGAGGTTGCAATTTGGAGTTGGGGAGGTTGGGTATCAAACACACTATAACTAGATGGAGTAGTTATTACTAGCCGTGAATATGGGCTCATGGATCTCGGGCAGTCTTGCTTAAGAATCGAGCACATCAGCTCAGTGTACTCCTCATGACCCAATGCCAACTGTCTTAGCTAAAGAGCTTGTCGGCTTTCCCGAAGCCCACGTTTCTTTTCAGATAAGTTGCTGGTTCTCTAGAGAAGGCTTCTGTCAACTCGGGCATGATGGCACCTGCATACCCCCTCTCCGGGCGAATCAGGCTCGCCCATGGTAGCCCATGGTCGAAGGATCGATAGTTTGTTCAAGTACCGTTGGCTTCTGCTAGCCGGATGTCGCTTTCGACTCGCCTGGACAGCCGTATGGAGTGACTTACTGTGATGAATGCAACCCCTACTCAACAGATTGTACCAACGACAACGGATACCACGGCCCCAGCGAGATGCAATACATTTGCTCTTCGGGCCCGTCTTCTGATAATTATTTTGGCCAGCCAGCCGCTTCATACACATTCGGACGCTTTCAGAACAAACAGCCCGGGTGGTCACGAAGAGTGGTAGGCAACTCAGAGACGACCAAGTTCGCGGTCCGTTGCTGAATTGTTTGAATCTACCGAGAATCCCAGTTGTGGCGCAAGAAACAAACTGTTGTTATCGTGGAGTGATCACCGAAAGCCGGGATGTTGGTCCCTATCCCGTGCCTCTTGCCAACGCCAGGGGCGGCTTGGGAGAGAGAACGGCTGGTTGGCGCTCGAGATCAGATCTAGTCGACCACCCCTTGCTTCGAAGTACCCAAGGCGTTTCGACATATTGACCGTTCGACAAACTCATTGACCACACGCTGGAACAACCAAGGTAACTTCGGCTCACGATTGCTTTATCTCCACATGACAAGGTCAGAGGTATGGTGCAAGAAAGCACAGAGATTCCAGACCTCTCTCGCCCTGTACTAGTGACCCGTGCAGTGGTAGTCACTGGAAACACAAGCCGCGAAACCTGTACCGAATTTCTGGCTCATTCGTACCTGTGGGTCATTTTCTGAGAACAGTCAGGCCCAGAGCTTCGAGCTCACGCCGGGTTTCCTAGAACTTCAGTCCTGCCCTGGCATCTGCCGATCCCGACGGCTTAGAATATGAACTTGACCTAATCCTAGGGTCCTTCCAACATGAGAGATAGATGTATCTGTCAAGGATGGAGCAGCTGTCCCAAGAGCTCTGGACTGGCCTCTAAAGACAGCCCATCACGCTCAGCAAGACATAGTAATTTAGCCGGAAGGCACCGTATATTGAGCGGACCCAAATGTGCCCTCCATTTGGTCAGGCGATGCTCACAGCAACGCTGGAGATGGGCTTTGGCGATGGCCGACATGGGTAGGCTGGGGGTGATGGATACGAGATGGCAGAGAGGTCGGCATCATCTTGCCTCCGTCCAACAGTTCTTGTGTGGCGGTCCCGCCAGTCTGGGCAACTCGGATGGCGCAACACCGTTTCGGCCCATAGATAATGCACCCGGGATACACTAAAGATCTGGACTAGCGAGGACTACAGGAAAGTCCAATATTTTGGCGAGGAGGAGCTGAGTCCGAAGGGAAATCCAGGAGTGTCTGTGATAATGCCGAACCGTCGTCACTCAGCGACGTTGCACTTGCGGGACACTGCGGAGACAGCCCAGGGACCGGCCCAAGGTCGAATCGATAGGAGTCTGGATTCCATCTTCATCATATAGCTCGACTTGTCAACTATAACCCGTAGCTCGTTCCCGCCAAGCCAAGTACTCAGGTAGCGAGAGCAAGTCCATCTACTGAATCTGGGCTGTTTGTCATCTGGTTGCTATTTGACGTGACGTGGTCAGAGAATGGACGTTCAGGTAAAAGAAGGGCATCCATTGGCATAGGAGGAGGATAGTATTGTTGGAAAATGTTACTACTGCTAAGCCATCAAACAAAGTGATGCCAACGGGGCATGATGTGAGGGAGTGATGAAAGACTGGAGGAAGCTGTGGTTCACCCAGCAATCGATGCTCCAAGGCTGCAGATGCCATGCCGTTACGGCGTTGCATCCTGCCAAGTGCCTGCCAGTGCCTGCCGCACGGCTCTCGGCTGAAGAGTGTCGGTCACATCGAATGGACAGGTGGAGCCACACACAAGCCTGCCCCTGGCTCTTTTAGGCAGATATGGTCTGTGCGCATGTCGTTGTGGTCGTCTCTTTCCGTGAGATCGGCCACGGGCCGTCAGGTTGAAGGAAGTGCAACCGTGACAATGTCAACGACGGACGGTCAACAACGGTCAACGACAGAAGGAATGAAGGGCTGGACAATGAAACTGAAGTGACGTGACAAGTGCCGCAGTGAGCACCTTGAGGGCACGGCTGCCACGGCTCGGGCTCTCAGCGTCCCTCTTTCCCTTTCCATCGACTGTCGTCCAGTTGAGCCGTTGAAGGTGTTCCCGGGTTCCTTCCTAACATCACACTCGGCTCCCGTCTTGCTCAATTTCGGTCCCGTGTCTGTCATCTTGGCTTTCCACTCACGCTTTCCATCACCTTACATTTGATGATCCATCTTGCATCTTGCACCAACTAGTCCATCTCGTTTACTATCGCCTTCCTCTTTGAGCCAGGCGGTCCCCGTCAGTCCCAGCATTCAAGTCCCAGTTGGAGTTGTATTCCCACAACAACCATCATGATCCTCTTCCCGGAAACTCAATACATTCAGCACATCCAACAACGGACTCGGCTGGGCCGATACCGATGGCAAACTCGCTTGTTCTCATCTCCAGCCACACCGGGAGCTCACATATCCATGCTGCCCCGGCTGTTTCAATCGATCGGACCAGCGCAGCACGCCGGCATGGCCGCGGCGCACACGACCTAGGTACCACTACCGTAGGGTGGGAATGCGCTCATGGA